GGTTGCAAATATGATATTGAGATGATCTCAAATTCTTTTGTACAATTAGAAGAACATTGATCCAATTGAAATTATCTTGCTCGTGAAAGAATTGATTTAATTAATATTGAAATGATTAATCTATAATATTAAGAATGTCCCATATTCATTTTTATACGATTTCTACAATAGAAAAAATTTATTATAATTACGTTAAAAATATTATTGAAGAAAATAAAGTCTGAAAAGAGTCCATGGTCCACTTCTTCTCACGACGATAAAAGTAGTTTTTTCGGCATTCGTTTATGAAGAACATATGAGCAAATGCCGTAAAAATAGACTATTGACGACAATATTTGACGTCATTATACTTTACGTGACACCAAAATATTTCTAAAATCATAAATGACATAAAGGAGATGTATTCTATCTGTCTATTTTTTTGTTAATAAATTCATTTTAATATTTTTGTGTAATTCCTAGTCCTTGTCACTAGCAGTGTTCATCCAAAAGCGTGGTACCATCGGACATACCCCTTGATACCTACAGAATTACGTTCTTTGGGTCCCCTTAAATTTCTCATTATCTTCCTTCGCTCATGTATTGTTGAAAAATTGTGGATCCTTTAAAAATGTGTGGTTAAAATTTACTATCGACTTTAATTTAAATTTTAATCAATTTTTTTAACTGAACCAAACATGAGCTTAGCCATTGTATCTTCGTCGTTGTAAAAATGGTGTACTTCGGCATTTTTGCAAAAAAATGTACAAATCAGGATTTTTGCAAGTCCAAATAACTGGTATGATATGCAATTGAATGAAGAGAGAGAAAAAAAGGCAAACATACATGCAACATACTGTGCTCAGTAGTGTTCAAGGAGAAAGAGGATGAACAAAAACATGTGATGTATCTCAAGCCCACTTGGCCAAGAGAGACATACATCCAACGCCTAGTAAGAAGAGAAATATTTGCACCTAACTGAAGCTTTCCATTGCTTTGCATTCTAGGACTCATATAGTCGGCTGAAAGAAGATCTACTAGTGCCATGTAGATCAAGATTCCGGCCGATGCTGCGTTAAAAATTCCTTCAATAATAAGAGCATTGGGACTGGTCTCACTATAAATTTTGGTTATTCCGATGCCTATTGGGGTTGTGAGCGAGAAGAAGAGGGCCATTATTACAACTTCTCGTGATTTAAACTTAGCCTACAAATTAAGAACACGAATAATTAAGCTAAAACACTAAGATGCAACTTTCACACCATCATATTTACTTATCGCCAACTCATTACACCAAATGAACCGTGTTTCCTTTATTTTCTTATTTCTTAATTCTCAATAATTAATTTATTTTGAAAATTATTCAATTACAAATTATATTACTACTAAAATTACTAAATTATTCAATAATTAATTTGACATCGTGAGACAAGAATTACACGTGTGAATACCTGGCTTATGCATCCTCCTAGGCCCATGCCTTCATAGAATTGATGGAAGGTCAAAGTAGCAATTAAAGGCCTTATCGTTTTAGGACTTTCAGAAGCACCTAAAGCAATTCCAATAATTACAGAATGGACTATAATTCCCAACTCCAACACCCACAGCACCATGAAAATTAACCATCAGTAACAAATTATTTCTGCTTCAAAACACAACAAACACAGTGAATCAAGATAAAGAGTGGATTATATACCTGTGAGATTACGCGGTGACGAAGAAGTTGTGTTTCACCAAAATCAATTTCCATCGACACTGCTCCATGTGCGTGACCGTGGGTGGCATGAGTATGAACAGGGACAACTCCTCCTTCATCGCCACTAGCTATTTGTGCCTTGCCGCTTGATTTCTTGCTGTAATAGGAGGTTGCGTATGTGTCCACCATAAGAGTCCCAATGGCGGAAACCATTGCGACAAAGCCCGTGAATGGAAAATCTCCCCACGGATGGGGACTAATACACGGAGATGTCAAGTTTTCGAACGCATCAGGAAGCACGTGAATAAAACCTGTGGACAAAATAACTCCGGCTGCGAAAGCCTTTATAATGAAGAAAAAGCTTCTCTCTGGACTCAAAGCTGGTATGGTCTTCCCCAAAACGGGAAGACAAACCCCAATTACACTCACAACGAGGATTGAAGCAAGTGCAGCTAACTTATATTTGAGTGCTAAACTTTTGTTCCGATCTTCCTCGTCCGCTTCACAAGTACATTCCCCTAAAACTGCAGTCGGAAGTAGTACGAGGAAAGCCACGAAAACCATCTTGCAAACCCATCCACGTGAATATGACTGAAAATTCATTATGGGATATGAACTAAAGTGGAGATTCAAGAATTTTAGCTAAAAGAGTGTAATTTTCTATCAGAATGGTGGGTACTCTTAAAAGGTTCCTATGTAAAGACGTGCTGAAGTTGTTGAAGAGTGATTGAAATCAACACGTTTTTCTTGTTAACGTTACAATCCTTGTTTTTCTATTAAGTTGTTGGGTTGTTCAGTGTTTTTAGGACTGTTCCTTCAGAGTAAGTTTAGATATTTGTGCTTCATCTATTATGCCTATAAAAGAGTCCTACTCTAAGTTGTTTTTTATGACTTATTAGTGTTCATTATGGGATATGAATTAAAGTGGAGATTCAAGAATTTTACCTAAAAGTGGGTGTAATTTTCTATCAGAATGGTGGGTACTCTAATCTTAAAGGTTCTTGTATAAAAGACGTACAGAAGTCAACTAA